GCAGAATTTCCTCTCGTTTTTCCGTCAATGCAATTACTGAAGGCTACACCCATTTTCTATATTTATTACGGTATCGAGTGCTTCATAATGGTCCTTACTGCTCCTTTGCTGATTAAATTTTGTTGTACTATCAATAAATCTGTTCTATTTCATCGAAATATGATCATTATCTTAAAGGTAAGAATCACTTCTCTTTTGTCATATTAGGGTCGTTGTTGCAATCTGAGGGTTTGACCAAAAGGGCATCCTAGAGCTGTCAACCTGGATTAGAACACCCTTCGTAGCAATTTCAGGTTGGTTGCGACTGCGAACTGGGTTGAAAGCTCACTTCAAGATGTCTTTTGTAGTAGTGCTGGTAAGCTGAGTTAAAAGCGGAATGGGGCAATCGGACGTGGCTCCATCGGTTTTCAGGAGTTCCAGGATTTTTCACATCACTTTTTCTACAGAAGCACCTCTGTTCACTAGAATGGGGTAGTTCGAAATGACGGAAATGGTTACATCAGCGTTGAGCAGTTCCTAGAGCTTTTTTTGTATAAAGCAAATGGTCATTAGCATGTTTTTGGAAACAATTATCGACAAAGATTTGCTATGAAGGACTCCTTGATGATCGCTATATCATAGGTTACCCACCCTGTAGCCTCTAGAGTGAGGGAATATTGTGTTTTCAGAAGCTTGCAGAAAAAATTTATAGGAGCTCTATCCTAGAAATTTGCCCTGTGAGCATGAATTTCTTCTACATTTCTTTTTGTATGAGTCTCAACCTATGTACAGTCTAAGGTACCAGTTTGCGGTGCCTTGTGACCTTGATCTTTTTCATTAGATTTTGAATATGACCAGAAGTTGAGTCACCCGAGAAAAAACGGCTTTTCATGTCGACTTTGTTTTTGCAAAATTGCAGAGCGATCCTTACTGTTTAGTGCCACTACTGTGCTTTCTATGGGTTACAATTTTTTCGTTTAATTATTATTTTCGTCGAAACAGGGATGTTGAATGTCAAAGGTATGCTTCTGACTCATTTGTTTCCTTTTATTATTGTTTGAAGGCTCAACTTCCTAGGCACCAATTACGTACAGGTCGCAATCTGCAAAACCCAGCAATCCTGAAACTGTCGAAAGATGACAAGCCAGTCTGGGAAAAGCCTAATTAGATCACTTTGAAGAAAAACACGAAAGGAAAAAATGCTGTTTTCTGTCTTTAGAAGCTAAGGCCGACTTTCGGAACTTGTAGGGGTTAACGACCATCTGTCTTCTGAACTCTTTAAGTCAATTTTTCTCGCATTGTTAATCTTCTCGACTTCCAGACAGAATCGAGTTCACATCACTTTTCATAGCTGTCTGCTATGCTAGCATATTTCTCAAAACTACAAGCATTACTATATTTGTATCTATGCTCGTTGAGCGTTTTATCGCCTCGTACTATATCGATGATTATGAGAAGAAATCACGCCTATGGGTAGCCATTTTGGCGCTGCTTTCATCATGTCTTATATCTGCTTGCTTCACAACTCCACTTATCTTTGGTGAGAAGATTTTCAAGTACTTTCAAGTACCTGGGTCTGGAAGAAAAACTGAATCTAGGTCGCAAAACTCAAAGCTGTGTTGGTCGGTTTTACAGACGGGTTGGAGGAATGGTCCGTATGTAAACTCGAGCCTTCATAACGCTCTCAACGTTTCTTTGCTTAGATTTAGATAACATGTCAGAGGTATGGCCTAGGAGGGGGCGTATTTCAGTGATAAATACAACGAGCTGATCTCCGGAGCGTTTGCCCTTCGACGGCATAATCAAAATCTTTCACAGTTATTTCACAGTTATGCAGAAAAACGAGGATAAATTCGTTTTATATTAAGCAATTCCGTCATTGGGATGCGCTCCCTCATTCAACGTCCTATCGAAATCGTTGTGGAGTACTCTCGCTTACTCCTATACAATCACTTGCAGTGGCTGGCCGATGTGTAAATCGGTGTTTCTACCCTCCCACACGGGTGTGGCCGATCCTGAAGGGATGGAAGGCTTGGTTATCCCAGACGAGCATCTATCCGGGATTCGAAGCAGGACCATGAGTGTGTGAGTGTGAGACACCACCACGGAGAGGGTATCATTACAAAATAACTTTACTCCGCCTCGATTGAGGTAAACAAGCTCTGAAGGAGACCGAGGTACCAGCTACTTCAAGGGCAAAGTTGGCCTTAGAATGTACCCAGGTACATTCGTACACTAAAGGAATAGCGAATCAGAAATGCAAGACTAAAGATTACTTGCTGACAAAGTGGCGCTGTTTTCGATTGGCATTTGTATTATATTCTCCATAGTGTTCGTCGCTTTGTATCGACGCGATCATCGACGTCTCAACGACTTTGTTATGAAGGATCCTCTTTGTTATGAACTTAGCACCAGATTTCAACTTGTCGAAAATCTTCGTGTTTTAAAGGTATGCATGGTCTCAGCCCGTATAGGCTGAGCTGTTTTTTCGATGCTATAATGTTCAGAAGTAGAGAAGTCCACTTGGAAATTAATTTTTCGAAATTCAAACAAAGGTGCCCAAACATGTCCTTTACAGATAATGAGGAACGCATCGTTAGCCTTCAGTGTCTGGGTCTCACCACCATGTGTTCTGTTAGTATTGGTATATCGCTATTTCCTACCGTATACTGAGATTGGTCAAATCGTCTTCGCATCATTTGAACTGATATTGTCATTGTGAGTTTGATTATATTCATGTGTACCGTCATGAGGAATTTTCTGAGACAACTGTTTTCCTGTTAAACTTCAAACTCAATGAATGCGCCTTTTATTCATGCTCTCCCTTTGATAGCTGACGATTTGTCAAAGATCTTCGACCTTACCGTCGTTTACCACTGTAGGAATGTGTACAAAACTGATTTTACTAGTGTAAACCCTCCTA